TGCAGCCAGGGGATCGACGGCTTGCTAGAGGAACCCAAAGCGAAATAAATTAAGCCCAAGCCCATAACTCAAAAATGACTTCTTTACATCTTTTATGGTTTATTTATAAGCTCTGAAAAGGCGGAATAGAGCTGGCCCTTAACCTGCAATTCAATTGTGTGCAATAATGAATCACTCATGCCTGCTATAGTGTACATTTAGGCTTCATCATACATGACATAACCTAATACATGTGCATTTCGTTATAGAATCTGAAATATGCAATGTTTATGTTAGTTCATATGTTGCACATGATGTTTAAATTCCCCTTAAATCTGGTCAGTCAAGTGATGGTCTTTAAGCCTCCTTCTATGGTTCTTTTCTTGATATGTAAGATTTGCTCACACATCTGTTCAATTGCTTGTTTGTATCAGCCAGCTACTAGGACTGTTTGCTTTGATTACTTGTTGTTCTTGACCTAACAGAGCTTGTCAACGATTTAAACACTAAGGGTTGTTGTAGTGAGGGCTTGTATAACTCATAGGTGACATAAAGGTTTGACTATACACTAAAGTAGGATCTCCAAGAGTACCTAGAGATCCAGTTCGAAGGTATGCCTAGTTTTTACATAGTGCACACATAGTAAATGCTCATTTCATTGTGTGCAAGAGATGTGGCATGTTTCATTATGTGGTGTTGTTTTGTTATAATGTCATCCTTTTGTGTTGTTCACAGACTAGAAAGTATGCATATTTATCTTCCAAGGAAACCAGTAACTAATTTGTGTCACCTTGCAGAGGGGGTGCAATGAAGATAAGATTGAGGATTTCCAAGTACAAGATATTAGGAAGGAGCCTTGCAAGAGAAGGAGGAGCAGCGCTGAGCATGTTCAACCAGTTAAGGTAAGTCACATTGTATTACAATTACCGGGACATCCTATTTGTCTGAGATTGTGCTTGTGTAGGGTTCTTCACCTGTAACCAGTCATTGGGCCATTGATTAAAAAACCCTCCACTCACTACTATATGATGTTCTAACTTTTTTGTAAATCAGATGTATGTAAACACATTTTAATATGTCTGTTCACTCATTGCAGATGTAGTCTACTTTTAAATATCTAAAACATATTATAGTAGTGAACAGTGTGAAACTGCTTCCAGCCATGGTAGAGTTGTCGATGTCATAAATGTCATAACCAAACGCATATTCACATCATTAGCCTCCCTATCATTACTAGGATATTGATTACATACTACTTCATAAGGGGGCAAACAATATTACATTACTTGTTCCTTTATATAGTAAATGTAGCTAGGCCATGGATGTTATTGAGGCGTGTATGTATGCATGCTGCCAACTCAACAGTTCAATTGCTTGTTTGTTTCAGGCATAGTTAAATTGCTCTTTTCAATTGCTTTATTTGTCCTCAGTTAATGAGATGCCCAAACAATGATGCCTAATGTTGGATACTTGTATAACTATTAGTTGACATAATTAAAAGCCTTACCATTTAATTACTCTGGCGAAGTGTGCCTGAAGCTTTGAAGTCTATTAACCAACTATTACGGCATGAGGCTCACAATCTAGTTTATACTAGGCTAATGATTGCATAGTTTTGCTTGCTGTAGTAGGTTTGTATGAATCCGTCTGTTGTTCATTATGCTCCCTAAGACTTTAATTGAGCTACAGAATGGCCAACTGCTTGCTTACTTATGCGCAATGTGTTGTCTAAATTTGTAACATGTCTGTGTTTTGGATTTGGCCCCAACATCATGCTCCTCTCGTGAGCGAAGAGAGATGTCTGTATGCGGGCTGCATAGACTACCATTTTTATAATTTTTAAAATATCACCTGCTTATGCTTCATGACGTGTAACATTATTGTTAGTCCTGTTTTGCCATGTACAAAATAGTTTGTCTTGCTCGCTTCACCGTTGTAACTATATTTTTGCCCTAGTCATGTGTACTTACAGAAACATTTCAGGATGAAGTGATATCAACACAAAGATCTGCGAGCAGTGCGGTATAGCCATTACCAAATGATTATGGATTGGAATTGGAATGTGCTGATGTTCTCGAGCATCAACTAGAGGTGGCAAGACAACGTGTAAATGATTCTCAATGTGCAATCAACAAGTTGAGACTGGACTTGCAGGTATTACATGTAGGAGTCAAAAAATGAAACAAGACACTGAGGTAACCACGAAGGAATTGGAGATTTTGCAGACTGAAAATTATGCTATCTGAACCCGGCCAATCCTATTTTTTGAAGAGATTGTAGTTCAAATGGTAAGTTTTGTTGATGCATGTCCATGATGTATGAGCTTTATTTGCCCAGTGTATATAACTTGCTGTTTGTGTATGCTTTATTATCACTGGTGTCGAACTATAATGCCCAGTGGGTATAATCGGCTGTAATTTCTTCATTGTATTGTGTAGGATTATACTATGTTTCTATGCCTTAGTCTCTTTATTGTATAGTGTATGTTTTTTAGAGGCGATAGTATAGAGTAGGATGATTCTTTGAATATGATATATCATTGAAACAGGGGCCAACATGCCCAAACATTTCCTGGACGCCATCCGAACGAACAAACATGTGTAATCAAAGCAGACCTTAATTGGGTTGGTCAAAATAACATTTAGTGGACCCCAAATGATGTGGCCCACCGTAACAACGTTTCTTAGCAGGTCGTTAACAGGTTGAAAGCTCGATAGGCCCGTATAAATGGAAATGGCCCGCGGGCCTCTAGTAGGCCGAAATAAATGTCAATTTTGTCTCAGCCCTTTTACTTTACGGGCTAGTAAGAGGCCGAAAGTGTTCTGGGCCAGAGGCGGCCCAATTTGCAAACTAGGCTTTTAACAAGCCGAAAGTCCCGTCGAGCTGAAATTTTGTCGTGCGAAACGTGAGGCGCTAATGGACCCAAAATTAGGTTGCATAGTCAAAGGCCCAGCTGTTGTGCGGGCCGTTAACAGGCCCAAAGACAAAATGGGCTAGGAATTGGCCCATTTACCGAATGGGCCGAGGACGGGCCTAAAGTCACAACGGGCTAGAAGTTGGCCCAACTACAGAATGGGCCGAGAAAAGGCCGAAAGACGTTTCGGGCCGTTAACGGGCTGGAACTGACGATGGGTTGCTAACAGGCCAAAAGAAGCTCGGGCCGTAATTGGGCCCAAAGACGTAGCGTGCCGTTAACGGGCTGGAACTGACAATGGGCTGGAAATTGTCAAATATAGAATGGGCCTTTGATGGACCGATTTTGTGTAACTCGTATGGGTCGTGCTTGTGAATGGGTCGGCCCGCTTATTTTGACAGGCCCGGCCTTCTAACCTGAATGGGCCACTGTTAGGCCGAGACACGTGTCGACGTATCGTAGGTGTGTCACGTCCATTCGTTGGATGACAACTACCCAAACGCTGGGCCGACACGTGGATCTGCCGGTGAATGATAATTTTACACGCGAAAAATCCCCATTGGTCCGGGCTGTTAACGGGTTATCAGATCCAAACAGGAATCCGATAGCTTAACGCGACCCGTTACGATGGATGCCACGTGTCGGTTACCCTTGACAAAAGCACTTCTATGATGTGTGATTTATCGTTATGGAAGTGGACACTTCTGTGGTAATAATTTTGGTAATGTCATGGAACACTTCTACGACGGCACAGGTATGACTATTTTTATTCTGTCATAAAATCGTCATGGATGTACATGCATGACAGAAAATATGACCTACTGTGACAAACACGTATCATCACGAAAGTGGTTTTTTTTGTAGTGATGATCGTTGCCACCATCAACAAGTTCACCGTCGTGAAGAAGCTCGTGGACGACATCGTTGTACTCCTCCCGCCTGCACGCCCAGGCTCCTCATTGCCTGCCACCCTAATCAGCCTCCACGGTGAGAAAATCTTTCAAGCACTGGAGGCCCCGCAACTGCCTGCCGACGCAACGAAGAATGTCCACCTCGAGATCGCCTCACCGCCGGGCGCCTCGCCCTACAAGAATTCATCAACCTACACATCCACATGTACAAGGAAGTCGTGTACATAGGCATGGGATTTGGATGGCCTCGAGTTCTTTCTTTTTACCTTTTGTAAGCCGATTTGTTCGGCATTATCAATAATTATTAATATATGGATGTTTCCATCAATAGATGCAAATGCTGAGGATTTATCCCCCTCGGAAAAAAGGTCTCTTTCGTCTTGCAGCTAAGAAGTTTGTTATTTCTCGAGTAATAAAATGTAACAAAAAGTTATATACGCATGTATATTTGTGGTGGTCGTGTACTGCATACATTATATTGTAAATCATTATGAAAAAATGATTATATGAGAATAATGGCGGTAGGTCCTCTAATTAGAACATGTAGAAATGATGCATCTTCATGTAGTAGTGTTGGTTGCAACTCACATTCCAAATGTAATGCAAGCCGTCTATTATTAGTAGTAGTATTCCAATTGTAATGCAAGACACTATGCTACAGTAGTATTTTTTCTCTACAAAATTAATGTCAAGTTCTGCATTACAATTGGAATACTACTGTTTTCTTTTGGAACAGCTTGTGCTTTATGCCCACTTTATGCCCACACCCTGTTTTCTTCTGTTCAACTATGTTTTATGTTTACCCTAAAAAAAACTATGTTTTATGTTGCAGTTCGCACCATGTATGGTTCAGCAAATGAGAAGTTTTAGTGAAATAGCATAATAGGATCACCAGGGCTACAACCGGCACAGTGAAGCGCGCGCAACGCTTCTAGTCTCAATAGTTGAGGCACTGCATGCTACTACTACCCATTTCCGATCATGTTCACGGCAGATTGCAGATATGCTGTCATATGACATTTTACATGTTGGGGCACTGGGTGCATCTTTGAATCACTGGGTCAACCAAATGAGTTGAACTTCACTTTTCCAGTAGCTACTACTACTACTACTACTTCACTTTTCCAGTAGCTACTTCACTTTTCCTAAGCGAACGGCGCAATTCTTTGGATGCGAGACCATGCATTTCAACGTTGCTACATTACCCTAACTCGCTTGCAGCTTGAACTGCCAGCGTCTCTCACCCCTTTGCTTGTCACTGCATACGGTGTTGAAGCTACAGGAAGTGAAGGGGACTTGTCCAGGTATGCACACCGCTCGTTCCCTTTCCAGTACAGAATCAGTCGATTTGTGCACGAGTGGGACCAGCTGTCACCTGCATAACAGCATTGCATCGTGTTCATTTCCTGAGTCGATCAGCCTCAGAACCAGCAACAGATTTGTACATAAATTAGAAGTTCCGCTACTCTTACTACCCAATTCATGGAATATTCAGAGATGGAACATTAAGCTTTTGCAGAACCATAGAGATGTCCAAACACTCATATATTAATATTATCATTGCCTTACTGTCAGCAATTCTACTTGGAAAAGAAATTTTGCGAGCTAACATCCAACCCCTTCGGAGATGCTGTCGACTTGCAGTCACTGTCATAAACAGGAAGCCATCGACCATTAGAACGTAACATTTTTTAGCAACTCATCAACACAGAAAATATAGTGTATTTTTTATTATTATTTTTAAACGAGGCAAAAGACTTGCCATTTTCATTGATTAAGAAGAAGAGAGTTGCCCGGTTAATTGACAGAAAACCGGGCTAAAACCCATACAACACAACCCACATGACATGGGCACCACCGGCCAACCTGGCCACCGACATGAACAGAAGCCACGACGGCACATGCCAACGGATGGCCACACGCGCAAGCAACCGACAGCTCCGACATTGACGACGAGCGACACAAGGGAAATATGCAGGACACGCCGGGAAGAACCGACTACGCGACCCAAGCTCTTCTCAACGCCATCATCGTTGCCAAACAGAAACCAGCGCCCCGCCTCAGCAAACCACGCGGCGAAGATGCCACCATCGACAGCGAAGATGTCATTATCCTCCAATCTCTCAGTCGTTGCCGGCTCCGAGACGATGCCCCCAAGGAGGAGAAAGACGCGAAGACGCCTCCATCGCCCGATCCAGCGGATCTGAGGTTTCCCTCCGGAGCCCAAGCCATGGAGAGAAGGAGCACCTCCATGACGCCGCTTCCAAGAAAGATCGCGGCACCTGCGGGCGCCGCCATCGTCGGCTCCGGTGAAGACCGGAGCAAGGATTTCTCCCGGAGATGTGCCGCCCACCTGCCACCACCGACCGCCGCCCACTAACCACCACCCCTGCCGAGGCCGACCTCACTCTGGCCACGGGATCCCACGATCCACCGCGACCAGACTCGCACCACCTCCTGGCCGAAGCCCCGGAGCCCAAGAGCCGCCACGTCGGCCGCTGGTCCCTCCTCCACCTTTGCCCAAACGCCTGCACACCGGTGGCCCCTACGGGCCGCGCCGCCGGACCGGCCAGAGCCAGATCCGCGGCCACCACCTGCGCCCAACGGTCCGGATCCGGCGAGGCCCGCTGTCCCCTGCCACACAGCTCCCACCGCCGAGCACCACTGCCAGCACCACGCCTCTGCTCGCCGAGCGAGCTCCGAGGCAGCCGCCAGAACCGCGCATCAGCTGCAGGCCCGCCCAGGCCCAGATCGGGCCCGCGCGCGAGCAGCCACCACCGCGCGTCCGCTGCAGACGCCGAGCAACCACCGCGGCTCCGATGAGACCACGCCACTAGCGCCAGCCCGCGCAGACCCGCCGATGCGCCCCGCCCGCAGCGCCCCTGCCTGCCGAGGCGACCCGCTTCGCCACCTCCGTGCTAGGAGGGAAGGAGTCCCTGCTGCCGCCGACACGGGCCAGGCTTCGCCCGGCGGCGCCTTTTGGCGGCGGCGAGGGGATGAGGGGGAGGAGGAGGACCTGGAGGCGGGGAGAAGGGGGGCTCGCCAGCCGCCGCTCGCGGGAGCGACGGGGGCGAGAGAAACCGTAGGTGCTGGACGCGAATTGAATTATAGTGTATTTTTTTGGAGAAATGGCCAAAAGCTACAAGCTACTTGCAGTTCTTCTTTAAAGAGAAACCCAAATAAGCAGCAGAATCAATCGCTCTAGGAAATGTCACTACAAATGTATTTTGAAGAAATGGCCAGAAGCTACAAGCTACTTGTCGTTCTTGTTTAAAGAGACCCAAATAAGAAGCAGAACCAATCACGCTAATGAAGTTTTCCTTTATAAGCAATAATTGCACACCTCATATACAATTGTTTGTTACAATATTTGGATCATTTCGTTTAAGGAAAAGAATGTCATGTAAATTAATAATACTACCCTTAGTCACAAAATGTTAAAAGTTTTGGACATTGAAATTGTCTTCAAAACACAATTTTGTCAGCTAATTATATTGTGATGTTAATTTCTTTGACCGGAGGTAGCAAACTCTTGCATTAGTTTGAATGTATAACAAACAAATGTAATGTTGACAAAAAAAACATCACATAGGAAATAGTGTTGTTGATTTCAGAAGTTCTCTTTAGAAAACAATCAAAATCATGGGCATCTGTAAATGATTGGAAGGAAAATTAGGGGTCATAGTTACATAGATAGGAACTAACCTAGAGCAAGAGTTAACTGAAATGATCCTTCTGTAAATTTAGTAGTTACTTGGTTCAACAAGACAACCTGCTCAAAGAAATATGACATAAGTCTGTTAGCCTCATTGAGTAGGGTAGTTCTTGCCTTACAAGTCATCATTGAGTTGTTTCTAGAGAAAATTCCATATATACCACTGAAAATCTGGTCAGTTCCGCATATGTCACTAAAAAGATCCCAATTCAAATTAGAACACCCAAATTTTGCGGCAGTTCCAAATATGGAACTACTGTCAATAGACTGGGTGTTGGCGATCAGATTTTTGCCACATCGACGAAGATACCTTTACTAAATGTTTCTTTTCATGTGCCTGCTTCTCTCCCGAACTCTCTACTACCAAAAGGTGACAAATATTTTCTGCCACATATACAAAAACATGCCTACATACACATCTACTACTACATCTATCAGTGGCATATGAGGAAGTTGGCACAAAGGGCAACATCGTGTTCTCAGCAGACACTTCACAGTCAACTAGCGATTGTGGCATATTTGGAACTGGCTCAAATTTTGAGTGGTACATTTGGAGCCAGGATTTTTTTGAGAGGCATATCGAGAACTGACCAAATTCTCAGTAGTATATATGGAATTTTCACTTGTTATTACTGTAATGAATAAAAGAATGGAACTGGATAAAACAACGTAGTACAAACAGATCAGATAACGAAGGCAAGTAATGAGAACTAGATGGGCTGTTGTCAAAGCATGCAAGAAACAGCTATATAGTGGTATTAAAGCAGGTCATACCCAGGACAGCAGCAGAGTTCCACCCCAAAATGTATTTATTTTTTTGACAAGGGGCAGGCCCTCTGCCAATTTCATATAGATAGGGGGAAATACAAAAGTGTACAGAAGATATTTACAAAACCAAAAAGGCCCTAAGAATTACATGCCGTTTGCCATAGCCAAACCCAACTGGACAAGGCCCTCCCTGACAAGGTAAGCAACATCCAACACTTGCAAAGAGACATTCTCGAAAAGCCTGTGGCTCCTCTCCTTCCACACATGCCACAACACATAAATGAGCACCTTGCCAAAATGCCTCTGCCCCGACGAGTCAAAAGCCTCAATATTTTTGTTCCACCAGTCCACGATCGTGGAAAAAAACGGGGCCAAGCTGGGTATGATCAAGGACCAGCCAGCAATGATACCCAAAATGTGTGTTCCTTCTAAATGCTACTCCCTCCCTCCCATAATGTAAGACATTTTTTTACACTACACTAGTGTCAAAAAATGTCTTACATTATGGGACGGAGGGAGTAACATTTATGTGCATAGAAAAATCCATTTACTAGTACTACCTCAGTAATAAGAATTGAGCCCAGTTAATTTATAGGAACTGCTATATGGTTTCTCAACTCAACTAGCACAATTTTTCATAGTTTATCCATAATCTGAATTTTAATACGAAAAACAAAGGCGGATATGGGCTATAGTATTATAAATCAGAACCTAGAATACAAGTATACAATTTCACAACAGGAACATTAGCTTGAAATTACCAATACATATGCCTAACAGAAGACCATGGGGGCCAGAAGGCATAATGACATGACAAATCTTGCAGAAGTTGAAAAGTTCAAACAATATCACAACCAATAATAATCCACCATGGTTCTGCATAATAACATGACAAATCTGTCTACAAAACTAATCCACCCCTGATAACAGTTTCCGCATCAATGTCAAGACGGTTTGTGAAACTTACCGCCAAGTTATATGACTTTGAAAGCTTCATCAACTTCAATGATAATCCACTGAGCACTCTAGTCCTCAGAGCCAGATCATCAAAATCTTGTCGGAAGTGGAAAGTAACACTATCAATAATAACTATTCTCACCTGTAAAGCATAGAAAAATAATGGTTACTTGGTAACACTCACCAATTCTGGTAGACACTGCTAAGAAGGGAAGGGTGGAAAAATAATTTCCGCAAACATACAACTGCCAGAAAACTCATCTTGAGGCAAAATAGAGGTGAAGGACAAAACATTAAACATAATTCAGGTGATTAAACCTGAAGACTCAGTTGTTCAAGAATATTACATCTTTATGTTCTCCGAGGAATTTCTCCAGATAGTTTATCACCGCAATCTGTTCAGTGTAGCTGCATATTCGGAAGTAGTAGATTCCTGCCAGGAAACTCTCGGGCTGCAGATTTTCTTGGCCAGATGACGACTTGTCATGGTGGCATGGAAAATACTCCATTATGTCACTGATACACCCTTCAGCAATTTGATAGACGCGTTCAACCATGAAACTGCCCTCTGTATCTGTTAAAATAAAATGAAATATTGTTAATAGTTTCTCAAAAGATACACGACACAATTGCTTTCTGTGAAACCACTATACCAATATAAATTGCTTTGCCGCCAAGGCCACCATAGTCCACGGGAATTTGGACGTTGATTGCTAGCTGAATCCTACAAAAGCTGGCACTTAGTATGGTAATTTTCTTCTGAAATTGCATTGAATCAATAGTAGGTGCACATACCCCAGTTGAGTTTTACCAATTCCTGGAACCCCACCTGAATAAATCTAGTAGCTGATTAGTCTATTCACCACAGATACATCAACGGGCATACTGTTTTACATAAAGAACTAAACAGAGAAAAATGGAAGCCCTTATGGGATGTTCATGCACAAGTGATAAAAAGAATAGAACAAAGACTCACTAACTTCATCCTGCAAAAGAAAAAAAGACTCGCTAACTTCATACAATTATCACAACAGTAGAATAAGTTAACAGCACTATTGCTAGAAGACAGGAGACCAAGAAACAAGCTATAGAAACAGAGCTAAAGGATAAACAGACTAAAAATTTGCCCAGTCGATTATATGGTTAACCAAGAGGTCCAATGCATTCCTTCAGCAAGAAAGATGTTAAAAAGGCGCACCTATCTCAGTAACTTCTTTACAATGAATCCCTCCACCAAGTATGCCGTTCAGGTCACCAGAGCCAGTAGTGATGTGTTTCTGTGATTGCTCCTCAGACAGCATATCCCATGCATTTTGGGCTCCTGTGACGTATTTGAATGAGTGAGATGCAGTACTATTACAGTTCATTGTTATATCGAGGATATATAAACAAACAAACAAAACAACAACAACAACAAAGCCTTTAGTCCCAAGCAAGTTGGGGTAGGCTAGAGGTGAAACCCATAAGATCTCACAACCAACTCATGGCTCTGGCACATGGATAGCAAGCTTCCATGCACCCCTGTCCATAGCTAGCTCTTCAAGGATATATAAAACGTGAAAAAATCAAGAGCAACAGGTACAACGGCTCGCAAAGCTATTGAATCGTGTGGCACATTGGCAGCAGGACATATCAAAGTTCAGATAATGACCTCAGATATGCAGAAGAGCATCTAAATGACTAAAACTAGAACATGAATACCGATTACATAAAATATCTCATTATCATAGCTTCACAATTACCTTACTCGAGTCCAAAAGGGGAAATAAATTGGCTGAGCATAACAAAACAGGATGAACAGAATTATAACACGTTTTACAAGCAATAGCCAAGAAACGGCATCGTACAAGGAGTCAAGGAGTATGTTTCTCTGAGAATGCCTCTAGGATCTTCCGCTCATTGAACTTGTTTGCACCCTCAATGAACTTGAGAATATCGACAGTCTCCTGGATCTCATTGTTCATATCTGTACAAGTACAACAGGAGAGGATACAGATGGTGTGCGGCTGTGCATAGGCACACTAAAAAAATTGTGGGTTCAAGTAATCACTGGGTGACTGGAAGCTCATAACTCAACCAATGTCCAAGACTACGGGTGGAGAGTGGAGACAGCAGGGGCATGTGACATCATGATGAGGTAGAACCCTAGAACAAGACGGGCAATCATAGCAACACGCTTGAGAGGCAGAGGGGTTTGAGGCGTAAAGTCTAAACAGTGACGCTATGGCATGGGGGGCAGCTCTTGGGATTGTGGAGAGCAAAAATCATTATGGAGGAGATAAATTTTCAGGGTGTTAAGTACAGGGTATGTGAAGGGGCAGAAAACAAACTATTATGTGCATGTCCGTCCAGATACAAAGTGTCTCTTTATAACTAATATATAAAAAAGAAAGTCAAGAGTCTGAAATTTTCATTAGGGGTCCGTTTGAGTGTCAAAACTCAACTCTGTAAACGATCTGGAGAATTAAAGAGAAAAATTCAATTCAGCCCAAGATGGAGATGAGCTGTAATTCCAATTTCCATGGAATGTGTCAAAATGGTAATTGGTAATTGAACAGTTAATACATACTTTTGACGATTGCAACACCAGTACTCAGACAATTTTAGCAAAAAAAATAATCAGACATTTTGGTACAAACATGACATGAGGAACAACATTGTAATTATCATTTGCTCCAGGTGATGACAATGGCCAACACGACAAGATCACTGCCAGAACAAGAAAACATGGGGATTTACAAACTATGCATCCCATTACATAAACTTGGCCTTTTTTGCTAGTGAAACTTGGGGTATGTTTGGTTCATGCCATAGCATGCCCTACCAAATTTTGCCAACCACTGGCTAGCCAAAAAATTGGCTAGAGATTGCTTGGTCCTTTGTTGGCTGAAAACTTGGCAAGATTTGTGAAGAGAATGTGAGGAGAGTTGGGAATACTCCATAGGCAACCAAAATATTTTTAACCAACCAAGTGAAAGCCAAAGTATCATGGGCTGACAGTAATTTAGTAGGGTAAATTGGGGCACCAACCAAACATACCCTTTGTTTGCAACTCCAATTCACTTGGAAAAGGCCTTGTGCATCCAAGAAGGGAATTAGGGGTTTAAAAGGCTGCACAGATTCTACAGTTTCAAGGAGACAATGAGCAGAAGGTGAATACGAGCAGCACAAGCAACAGGGTGCCACGGGAGGGGAGAGGATGAGAATGGGCGCTAGGTTTAGTTTGTCTTACTTTAAAATCTTTACTTGCGTTGCCTTCTATGCTTGAACTTCTCACTTCCTAACTTGATTCGTAACAAATTAAAACAAGCCAGAAACTACTTTAAAGGAGCTGCACCAAGTTAGCTGCAAATAGCATAAAAAATGCACAAAAGGATGACAGCACCTAACTACAGAAACTACTGCCCATGTTCCATAGAAAAGAACAACAGATGCAGAGAACAATGCTCACCCCTCAATTCAAAGACAGCACCATGACCAGTGTTGTTATCATCTCAGATCCAGGAAGCACCAACAAACATACTAGTAATGTTATCCTTCAGAGCAGGATACCATACCTCCAGTAAAGATCAGCTACATATATCAACTAAAAGCCGGCTTTTCCCCACAAATCTTGCCAGCGTCAACAGCAACCCCTACAGCGAATAAACTAGACGAATCCAACAGAAGACACAAACCTTACAACGTGATTCACAGGAACTTGCGCACAGGCATGGTAATCCCTACACATCAAACAGAGAGAGAGAGTGGCAACACAAGCCCTAGAACCACTAGAACCCGAATCAACCAGGTACACATCAAATCAGGCGCATCCCGCATCCTTTCCTCGCCGGCCCAAGAGAAACCCCCGTTTCCCGCTGTTAAAACCGAGCGCACAAACGCCTCCTACCAGCTGCGTGCAGAATCAAATCGAACGGAATCAACATGGGCGGGGATACCTTGGAGGAGCAGCTTTTGCGCCGTCTCGTTGGGAGCCATGTCGCATTCGCGGAGCACGGCGTAGGCCTCCTCGTCGGTGCGGTTCCTGGCGACCCCTTGCTGTAGTGGTGTGCTAGATTGTCCGCCTCACTGCCGCCGGAATAGAAAGGGGACAGAAGCGGAGGCGGGAGGGAGAGAGATTTATCATTTTCGGAGAGTTTTGCAGGTAGCAAGTCCAACCGAGGCCAAATTTGGTCTTACCTTTTGGCAAAGTTTAGCCCGATCAAACTGTCATTTAAAAGTACTAGTTAATTGTCCGTGCGTTGCAACAGGGCCAACCCTTTTAGTGTGCGTCACTCTCTGAAAACAACAATAAAAAACAATCCACATCAAAGGAGGGCACTCGTGGTTTGTTCGATGATCTTCTGTGGCGCCAGCCGTGCCTAGTTCTCTCTCGTGGTTCTCTGTGAGAGTCGGAGCTGCGCTGCCTGGTCGCAGGTGACTGGGTCTGGCGCGGGCTTCATGCATCTCCACATGGCCTCTTCGATGTGGGTTGGGTTGTCGATCGCCTACGGCAAAGTCGGAGTTGTTTGCTCAGGGTTTAGGGATGGCGATGACGCCTCTAAGGGAGGAGTGATGACGATGACGCATGTGTGTTGATTCGACGAGACCCTCTCTGGAGTGGTGTCTGTGGGGTATCTTATGTGTGCCGCTCAGCGGTTGTGATGGTGTTCGCCTGGTACTCCATAATTAACTAGGCAATCTGGTTTTTGCTCGGTTTTCCCAATTAACCGAGCAACTCTTTGTACGATTCTCATCCTGTTAAACTGGCATTCATCACAATGTCCTTTAGAGATAGGATGTGACAGAAACATGATTGCCCACAAAGCACATAGTTCTGTGTTGCAGTAAGCACATAATTATTTATAATCTCTTATATTATGCAAAAATGCACTATATCTATATTATATGTGCATCAGTATCAACTATTATCTTGTAGGGCATAAACTATGGCAAATTAAGACTTGCAAGCAAAGGCATCTGTAGGATGTGACACTCTTTTCATGTAAGGGGCAAATTTGATTGCCGCAGAAAAGTATAGAAGATTTAAATGGTTACAGACTTACGGTTTGAAAAAAAGGGGTAATTAGAGAATGTTGTGTTAACATTTTATCTTGCCATGGTCTTTCTCATATCAAGGAACTAAAAAGAACCAGCATGTTGAGGCTCCAAGTATACAACAAAGGCAGCTAGCTTTTGGAAGAATGCATGTAGTATTTCAGAAGACTGTAATTAGAATGCCATCAAATGTTGAGAAATAATGAAACCTATCATTTCTCTTCCTCCACCTTGATCTACATAATGAGTAGTACTATCACAGAAAACATATGACATGGGAACAACCGCATTAGATGTCCCATTTGTTCCTTGAATATAACTCCCAGTGGCAAAAATGTTATGAACCGAGGAGGTCATCCTTGTGTATCCCTAGTTCCCTACTGAAACTCTCATTAACATGTGTTGTGGCCTTTTGGCGACATTCCCGCCAAGCTTTAAGAGGTAAGGCCTCTCCAAAGTCAGGAAACCTAAGTAGTCATGATCAAAGTCCTCGTCATAAATTATCTCTCTGTCCAAGAAAGCCGCATTCTGGAATTAGATGGCGCAACATTAGAAGCAGTATACAATGTAATGTCTTCAAACAGAGCAAAGGAGGGCACATTAGAATGCATCACATAATCCTATACACATGCATATTAAATGAAATGGAGCGGCAAACTTATAGCAAAAGTTATCATCAGTTGTCTCCCATATTGATGTAAAGAATACATTTCTTAAAAAAACACAGATCCTTCTTATGTTAATGCTTCTTCTCTATTTTGACCAACAAGCAATCGGGCAAGTGAACAAAAAGATTCTAAATATTCCATTGGTAAATCAGTACTAACCGTTGTGATTCGCATTCATGCATATATGTCGATCGCAGGATCAGACAGCCGCCGCCGGCACCGGCCAGCACAAGCAAACTGAAGGAAATTAATGTCAGTTAATCTCGATGGAGCAAACCATGCTTACGCACACCAAATCACCCTATTTAACTATTAGCAGCTTAGCATTGTCCAGACAGGATGTGAACTGAATGATTGTTGTATAGTACCCTCATCACGCAATGGTTTATTGCTCCCAATGTTTGTCCATTCGTTTAGTTACAGCCAGTACAACCATCGTGCCTTTAGCTGCACATGATGCAGTTAGTTAGTTGGATAGGAGAGCGAGTACCTCGACGATTGTAAGTGCAAGGGGAGGACCGAGAAGAGCGTCGCACATCGCCGCCGCCATGGGTAACAAACTCACACGGGCCTGAAGCCCTAAACGACAGAGAAGGGCTGGGGCAGTGTGAAGTAGGACGTCCCGAGCCTGAACGACCTGCCCACACGGGATAGGACATCAA